ATGCTGTTGATCACTGGATTGTCTGGTTGAGACTCGATTATTTACAGACCGCCGTCATACACACAATGTAGCTGGTTAAACAACTAACCAACCAACCATTACTCGATGATACCACGTTGTTAGATCATTCATATTAACATAATAATAAACTCACTGTGTAATCAGGTAAAGATTTAATGTTGATTATATTCAAAACAGCTACCAACATTTAAATTACATTTATGACGTCATTCTATTGTCTGCTCGCTCTATTACCTTTCAGGAATGGAGCGGTGTGTACTAGTTTAACATTTAAGACTTCATTTTGTCATTTTGACATCTAATTTTGATAACAGAAATATTACCAATACTTTGAATGTAATTTAAGTAGGGTAATATCCTCGTTACTCTCCAATCCTTAAAAATAATGGGCCTCGGCTCCATTGTTTTTAAGGAATGGAGAGTTACTCGGACATTACCCTCTACAGAATGTAATATAATTATAATTTAAGAACATACATATGAAAAAAAAAATTGCTTATTTTAAAATAACCAAGAGATCCATGTGACCAAAGCCCGTTCTATATTCCGTGTCTCTAGTCAATCAGGTGCCTGGAATAAAGCCTGTTATTTATGCCACGGACACTCTAAATAGATATGATAGGGTTTTATGTTCTATTATCTATTATCACTTCTTGAACACTACTTACAGTGTTGATAATCTATAATCTGAATTTAGAGATCACCCCGAAGTTTTGAAAGATATGAGTACTGCAAAAATGAATGAAATTAAATACCAGTTTTGTCGCGGAGCATCCTGAAAAGAAAAATGTTTACTTTTCCTTCCGGATGAAACACTATGTACACGTTGCTTTAATGGTTAGCACAAGCTTATTAACTAAAGTTTGGAAATGAAGACCTTTAGATATGCAAATAGTTAAGCAATTTTTACAAAATAAGTTATTAATTTTTTTATTTAAAACAAAAAGGAAAAACGACTATTTTGGAAATGTAACATATGGACAATTTAATTTGTAGAGGAAAAACTAGAAGCCGTATTCTAGTGAAAGATAGATATACTGGCACACCTTTAGCTGACATTATACACCTTGACAGCCCGTTCATTAATATCAGTGACAAGGTCATCAATTAGACGAATGTTTTTACGTACATTTCGCCGGAATGGGTTCTAAATACGCATATCATACGTGAATACACATATTGATCGTTCAAGTTGAAACCGAAGCGATTGAGAATGGGTTATTTGTGGCAATTTTATGATACATGATTAATGAACTCAAACCATCCTGACCCGTGAAGATCCGGGGTAGAATAGGTCTTCAGCAACCCATGCTTGCCACAAAAGGCGACTATGCATGTCGTAAGAGGCGACTAACGGGATCGGGTGGTCAGGCTCGCTGACTTGGTTGACACATGTCATCGGTGTCCAGTTGCGCAGATCGATGCTCATGCTGTTGATCCCTGGATTGTCTGGTCCAGACTCGATTATTTACAGACCGTCACCATAGAGCTGGAATATTGTTGAGTGCGGCGTAAAACTTAACTCACTCACTCACTCAAACCATCCTCGAGGGTACGCTTTTCGATGAAGCACGGTATCCGCAAACATAACACAGATACATACGTAACTGTTTTGCAAGCACAGTTCATTTGCCTTCTTACCGTAAAGATCCAACTGCGTGTGCCATAATAATTTTTATCTCAAAAATTCATTTATGGGAGTGTACGCTGCAATCTGAGTGGTTGTGGAACGATGCTAAATAAAATCTGAGCGTAGAAATAAGTGTCTTAATAAGCATAATATGTGACGTAATTGACAATAGGAATGGAAAATGCGTAGTCAGTATTCAAAGAGATAATGTTGATCTTTTCATCAGTTGTATTTTGTCGACATTTTGCAAGCCATTGACTTCATAGCAGTCGTTAAAGACATCAGGTCTGTTTGAAAACTGCTTCACATGTGAAACACATTTCAGAATACTCAATATATTCACCAACTGAAAACGCAAATTTGAAAACAGAACTTTTATTTCCTTAACAATTGACAGAATTCACGTTCAGTTTTGAAATTAATAGTGTACAAAATATTTCACTGGCCTTGGTAGGCCTTTACTGTGATTAAATATCTGTAATAATTATTTGAATGTTTTCAGCCTCTATTGATCTTGTACATCAGCCATGACAATCAAAACATCACATTATAAATAGTTGAACACCCACAACTCCTTAATGACAGGAGAAGCTAATAGGGTGTGTGGACGGACACTGATAACATAGTAATTTTGAGAAATGTGCTGAAAAGTGATAATAATTATTCAAGCATTAAGTTTCAGTTTGGGTGCATATCGCATTTATTGCTAAAATACTAACATGTGTGTGTTTTGAATTAATTTGGGTTCGAACCCCGAATGGGACTCAACCCAACAAAAGTACTAGAATCTGTACTTTACTGAGAAATAGTAATCCCAAATATACTCATGCCAATAATGGTTGTCACCCCCTCCCCACCCCAACCCACACACACCTCACACCCCCAACCCACACACCCTCTCCAATTAAAAGAATTAAGGGGGTGACAACCATTATTGGCATGAGTATATAACATGTGTTACAGATGTGTGTTCTCTTTATGTGGTGGTTACTGTAGCTGACCCCAGTATACGTATGTCGCCCTACCACATGAATATTGGTTTAACCTAACCATAACCCCTCCTTTGATGTGGGGTATATAAATAGTTGTCACCAAACAACACCGGCTTACCTTAATGCTGGTCTCACTCGTACACATAAAGCGGACACTTCATGGTATAACTGTAGTATTTGTCACCGGAGATTTCCTGTCGGGTATATTTAACCAACTAACACACTCCATTTTAAATATAATGATACAATTGACATTGTTATATAACTCGTGGTTATGATTAATTACTTTGCCAAAGGAAATTTCATGTAAGGAAATAGTTTGTCGCTTTCATGAAGATCATAACACAATTTTCACTGTAATATAACTCCGGTTTACGACAGTCTATGATTATACTGCAATATATTTGCCAGAGAAAAATACCTTTTACGGAAGTAGTTTTGCTGTTCACACAGTTATAGCTATGAAAGAAACGTAGAGCGAGGGAGAGAGCTATAGAGAGATAGGAGAGAGAATGGTGGGTAGTGTGAGTGTGAGGTAGTGTGTGTGGTAGAGGGATAGGGAGGTAGTGTGTGTGTGTGTGTGTGTGTGTGTGTGTGTGTGTGTGTGTGTGTGTGTGTGTGTGTGTGTGTGAGAGAGAGAGAGACCTTGACGTAGTTTTGTTGTTTACACAGCTATAGCTATGAAAGAAACGTAGAGCGAGGGAGAGAGCTATAGAGAGATAGGAGAGAGAATGGTGGGTAGTGTGAGTGTGAGGTAGTGTGTGTGGTAGAGGGATAGGGAGGAGGTGTGTGTGTGTGTGTGTGTGTGTGTGAGAGAGAGAGAGAGAGAGAGAGAGAGAGAGACCTTGACGTAGTTTTGTTGTTTTTACAGCTATAGCTATGAAACAAACGTAGAGCGAGGGAGAGCAATAGAGAGAGGAGAGAGGGGGGGGGGGGGTAGTGTGAGTGTGAGGTAGTGTATGTGTTAGAGGGATAGGGAGGTAGTGTGTGTGTGTACGTGAGAGAGAGAGAGAGAGAGAGAGAGAGAGAGAGAGAGAGAGAGAAATAGAGAGAGAGTGAGAGAGAGAGACCTCGATTTTCTTCCGTTCATTTACAGACCACCCTCACACAGCAGAACTTTTGCGAATCCAAGAAACAAACAAGTTGTCAGTTTCAACCTTCCATACTTCGCTATGTTTACAACATGAAATGTGAAAATACATGAATTAAAATCAAAGCAACCATATTTGCATTTCAGAAACAACCAATATATATGCATATACAAAGCATTGTGCACGAAATATACTCTGGAAATAAATTTTTGATGGTTAAGAGTCACCGTTATTTCTAACTATTTCTGAGGGCACATTTGCGTCCTGTGCGTGTACCAGAAACTAATGAGTCTGTGTTCAAGTCCCATATTCGCCTTGATTACTGTTCAAAGTTTGTCAGGTGGCAAGCGCTAACACCTGCATAACTATGTGTTTCCGTTGCACACCAAGCTGACTCAAACTTAGATATCAAAGTGCTTAAAAAAGCAATTTCAAACTACAATCGCTTGTTACTAGTGACTCCCCCCTTCATGTTTACTGAAAGAGCTTGTTTTGGAGACACAACCCATCCCCCATTTCAGATGACGTAATCATAATGTTTTCACTTATTCATACATGATGTCAAGGGTTTAAACTAAGTACTGAATGGTCACACAAGTGTCAGCTCTCAATATATTGTAAACAGGGTCTTCTTGAATATCTGGACACAACGTTCTTGAAAGACTAAAACGGGGGTGTCCTTAAAAAAACAGCCCCCGACCAAATATACCCATGCCAATAATGGTTGTCACACCCCCACCCAACACCAACAACCATTATTGGCATGAGTATATAAAGCAAGCAATCCAAATCTTTGCCTGTTGATTATGATGGGAAGTCATCCAATACTATACTGAACATATTTAATGTGATATTATCGGAAATCTTATCATTATCCCAAGAGGTACCAAATGACAGATCGTTTTTCATTTTCTAGAATGTTTTTAGAAATATTATACCCCAATGTGTTGTGATGACTAATATCTCGTTAGCCACATTGCCCACATATGTGAAATTTGGGATATGGCTTTGCTAATGATTCCTTCAAAATAAAATGGAAACTTTTCAAACATTGGACATCGAGAATATAGTCAGGCCGACTACTTTTGACCGACCTTCGTACGATGACATGTGTCAACCAAGTCAGCGAGCCTGACCACCCGATCCCGTTAGTCGCCTTTTACGGCAATGCAATGTAACTTTAATACTGTTCAAAGAGATGCTAAATCAACTCATTTGAGGATACATTTCTTAGTGGCATCTAAAACTTTGTAACGGACCTTTCTTTCAATCAAGTAAAGTTCTTTCAGCGCAATGCATTATTTTCCAGAAATACATTTCAGATAAGCCCTTTTTGGGTCAGACATTTCTTGTTGTTTTCAAAACAGCATGGTCAGAGGATGAAAAATATTAATTGAATATTTTTTTCCTATCCACATAAATAAATATGGACAATGGAATGATACATACTCAAATATCTTCATTATAACCTTGGTCAAAGAATCGGCGTTGATCTCAATTTCATTCACGGTTCCCTCGGGTTGGCATGTTGATCATGTAACGACATACTCAGCAATATTTAAGCTACATGACGGCGGTCAGCGAGTCTGACCATCCGATCCCCTAAGTCACCTCTTACGACGTGGACGGGTTGCTAAAGACCAATTCTAACCCTGATCGTCACGGGTAGTTCCCATTCCATAGTATACAATCCAATCTGTCTAATGAGTCATTAAGAGGTTGACAGTCACAACAATGTCATCCTTCCGGGTACCCATTTACAACCGTAAAACAAAAATTAGGAGGAATGTTTTGGGAAATGCCAAGCCACAGGGTTACATTCTATACCATAGTAGCGTACTTTTGATGATTGTACTAAGTACAAATAACTGGATTGTACAAAATAGATATTTCTCAAAAGGTTATTCAATTAAAGTTAGTTAGGTAGTTCAAAACTTCCTGAATGTTCCCCAATGATATAATCACACTATATTAGGTGTGTATTCACAGATGAATCTGAGCGGAGCCCAGCAAGGGTTGTCGTTCCACTTGTAGTCATGTGACCGGACCATCTCGACACAGAACTCTGTTGAACTCCCTCCCTCTCCAGGCATCCAGTTGGTGTAGCCTGCCCGCGTCCCATCTGACCAGATGAATACTCCGTTCTCCACAGTCTCGTCGCTCAGGCCGATCCAGTAATTGGTGTTACTCCAGACTACAATACAGGTTAAACCAAAGTGTAAATATCAAATGTACACTTATGCAATGATTTTAAAAGGTTAATATTAATTAAACACACAAATATGTTTTAAATCAGTTTTGTTTAATAATATGTATATGAATTTCAATGAGACTTCCTAACACCTCGTCAATGAATGCAATCGTACAGCAAGCGCAGAGATCGAGGCTTATAATGCCAATCACTGGATTGTCTGGTCCAGACTGGATCTTTGCAGACCGTCCCTTTTGGCTGAAATACTGCTGAGTACGATGTAACAAACATACAGACAACCAATTGAATGTCCTGTCACATCTGTTTCGGTTTGTAACCAGCTTAAGTCTTTCTTTCACATTACAGCAAATGGCTGTTTTCAAGGAAGAGTGCCGTGAAGATCCCGGTTATAACTGGTCTTCAGCATCCCATGCTTGTCGTAAGAGGCAACTAAAGGGGCCGGGTGATCAGGCTCGCTGACTTGGTTGACACATGTCATCGTATTCCAGTTGCGTAGATTGGGGCTCATGCTGATGATCACTGGATTGTCTGGTCCAAACTTGATTATTTACAGACCATATAGCGGCGTTAAACAACAAACAAACAAACAAACACTGGTTTGAACAAAGGTGGGATATCATCTTCATCCTCATACCCAACACCTAGATAGACTTTTATAATTAAAATACAGCACTGCTTCGTCATATCACTAAACCTCTTTAAGACCACGGTGCATTACCAGCTGAACCTTGCAGCGTTGTCTTAATGAAGTTGAACTTTCCTTCAGTGTCCGCCACTACCAGTTGACCGCCCAGGTTCTTACACGTGTTGTCTGCATTATGCCAACTTTTTGTGGTTGTCATGACCTCAATGCATATGTCTTCTATGGGGCTGTAGATCCTGTTGGCACCTGAACAGTCTGTAGAATTAGAAAGGAGGAACGAATTGGGACAAGAATAATGAATATAATTGATACATGAATTTGGTTTGGTTACTGAATGCCCGACCTCTGGGTTATTTATTTTTGAAAACGAGAAAAACTTTGTTTGTTTCCATGCTTGATCTGAAAGATAACTAGTGGTTAAATGAAAATTTATGGTTAAATGAAAATTATAGGCACAGCCCCGAGAATATCACATGATACCTTATAAGGGTGTCAAACTCCCCTTATACGAAGAAAACACAGCATGCAAAAACAATGGAAGAGCGACAGAAGTATCATGGAAGTCAAGTTTTGAAGACTACGGGCTAAATGGGTAATGTGTTCCTCGGATGGCTGAGGGCTTACTCCTTCTTTTAGCATATATGTCGCCAATGTACAATTATTCCAACAGTACCAGAAAGTAAAGACACACGGCATACAGACAGTGATGACGAGAGATTTCATAATCAAATAAGCAAATGCTATTCCACTGTTTAGGCCATCGGTACTAGAGACCAAGCTCGGCCCAAGGCTCAAATTACTCCAGTGATTTGGGTGCAAATCATCAATAATACAAATATAGGGTATTTATTGGCGCCCAACGAAAGAGTTTTTGAACCTTGTGGGAGTTTTTTCGGCCTATTTGAGAAAGTGTCCTGAACGTTGACTGAATGCTCTCTGGAGTATAAGAACCTTGGCCCATATCACTATAGAGTTGAAGGTTAATGATTTCATTGGAACCCCCTACACGGATTCAAAATGTGTGAGTGGGTTTGGTTTTTATCGCAGCTTTGATCAGTGTTTCACGGCATGTACACTGGATATGGAGACACGGAAGTTCTTAGACCCAGATATTCTTTACGACGTTAAATAAAATTACGTTTCTTGTGGACATTATTGCAAATATATCCGTTGATGTGTGACTAAATAAATTGGAAGTACAGTGGACTCTGTCAAATCCGGACTCTTTGTGAACCGGATTTCTCCATAATCTGGACTATTCCCTGAGTCCCGGCAAAATTGTTCATAATTAGTTTTATCATTAAAGCTGTAATCTGTTTCCAGTCATAACACAGCGAATGAATATTTCGGGACGGTAGGATAGCCTAGTGATTAAAGCGTTCGCTGTCACGCCAAAGACCCGGGTTTGATTCCCCACATGGGTACAATGTGTGAAGCCCATTTCTGGTATCCCCCGCCGTGATATTGCTGGAATATTGTAGAAGGCGGCGTAAAACCAAACTCACTCACTCACTGAATATTTCATCATCCTACCCAATAAAGAAGCGAAGTATGCCGCCCCAGGGTAGGGAATCGTAGTTGCAGTTGCTGCTGGAAAGAAGTTGGCCCAGGAATGCAGTTGGCAGCGTCGATTCGCCTCGTGATAAGTGAATGACCTACAGCTGGATGATGTCGCACATATGACAGCACACGCAGCAGTGGAGGAGATGCCGTAGCGGTCATCAACGACGTGGTTAATGATCCAGAGATCATCAAACTGATGGCGTCGCGTCCTTCTCTGTGTTTGAATGCTGAAATATGAAAGCAAATTGCTGGAAAACACATTTTTAAAAACCCACACACAGACACACACACACCCGCATAAATACACACATCATACTGTGATGACCACACGGGGACATGGGTCAACCAAGTCGGACTGGCAAAATTGAAGCAAAAGTATTTGGCCAAGAGGGTTTGGTTTCATACTGTCGATGATCTGATATCCTTCAATAGTCCATTCTCTTCCACAGATTTACCCACCTGAAATATAACTAAAACGGTCCGGGGAAACCGCTTGATCATGTACATCGATGAAAACAGATTTAGAGTTAAATAATTGTTCAGGAGTTTATAACAAGAAGGATGAGTTCAACGCCGAGTTGACTCCAACAGTCAACTTTGTCTTTATGTTGACCAATACTTGAGCACCTCCATCATTTGCTGTCCACATTTCACAACTTGAGCACAAGTGAGCATGATCTTTCTACGATTTCTACACCATTTGAAGTCCGCAACAAAGTCCTAAAAATGTAAACTCACTAAACACTTGGTGAATATCGAACAGTAACCCTGCTCTTGGCGCTGAATTGCTTTGAATATGTTGAAATTTATATCATATATATTTAAACTGTTACATATATTCATGAGTTTCCATGATTCTTCTCAAATATCAATGACCATGATAGCAAAGTGCTTGCTTCATCTCCATCATAGTAAGACATTACAACAGAACCGGGGATGAGTATGTACATTCTGATATCTGCCTGCTCCAACACACAGAAGACATGTACATTCTGATATCTGCCTGCTCCAACACACAGAAGACATGTACATTCTGATATCTGCCTGCTCCAACACACAGAAGACATGTACATTCTGATATCTGCCTGCTCCAACACACAGAAGACATGTACATTCTGATATCTGCCTGCTCCAACACACAGAAGACATGTACCTGATATCTGCCTGCTCCAACACACAAGGACATGTACATTCTGATATCTGCCTGCTCCAACACACAGAAGACAAGTACATTCTGATATCTGCCTGCTCCAACACACAGAAGACATGTACATTCTGATATCTGCCTGCTCCAACACACAGAAGGCATGTACATTCTGATATCTGCCTGTTCCAACACACAGAAGACTTGTACATTCGGATATCTGCCTGCTCCAACACACAGAAGACATAGTACATTCTGATATCTGCCTGCTCCAATACACAGAAGACATGTACATTCTGATATCTGCTTGCTCCAACACACAGAAGACATGTACATTCTGATATCTGCCTGCTCCAACACACAGAAGACATGTATGTACATTCTGATATCTGCCTGCTCCAACACACAGAAGACATGTACATTCTGATATCTGCCTGCTCCAACACACAGAAGACATGTACATTCTGATATCTGCCTGCTCCAACACACAGAAGACATGTACATTCTGATATCTGCCTGCTCCAACACACAGAAGACATGTACACTCCTCCTGCACGATTCCCAACAATACTCTACTTTCACAAGTTTATAACTTCATCGTTTTACTTCATGTTACCATTGACCAATAACCATACATTTTCTTTTCAGCGCTTTTGTGCCTTTTATCCACATCTGATTATGTTTCGTAGGAAAATCGAAACTGATTCTCCTCTGTCAGAGACGTATGATTTTATTAATATGGAAAGGTTTTGTAACTTCTATGTATGTGACTATGAGTTTTCTTACACTCCCTTGGGGCGGTGGGGTAGCCTAGTTGGTAAAGCGTTGGTTCGTCACGCCGAAGACCCAGGTTCTATTCCCCACATGGGTACAATGTGTGAATCCCATTTCCGGTGTCCCCCGCCGTGATGTTGCTGGAATATTGCTAAAAGCGGCGTAAAACCAAACTCACTCACTCACTCACTCACTCTTACATTCCCTTGGGCGAGAAATCCTTTTTGAGATAGTATCAAACATGTGTAAGATAGAATTACAGGTACATGATTCGCAAATCCATTATTATGATCTAGATCAAGGTCCCATTTATACGGTCCCCTGTCGTGACATTGCTTGAATATTGCTAAAAGGGGCGCAAGCTAAACTCACTAACTCACTCTAAATCAAGGTCCACGAGACTTTAAATTTTAATCTACTTCTCAAATCAATTAATCTATTGACAATTGACTCTAAACACTCTTTCATCACGCCTGTCATGTAGATATAGGTCATGCTCCCCGCACTCTGGTTTACCATAGGAAACGTCTGAAGTAGTCCAGGAACGCTGAATATGTTTAACAAAGAAGCTGTTCTTAAGTTGCCATGCTTTCTTGAGTACGCATTGATTAGTTTCTCGTGTTTCGATCGTGTCGAAACGTTAAGGTTTTACAATATTTTCTTTGATCTTATCTAGTTTGCAGTATGATGACCCACAGTTATAACTGATAGTTGTGTTGTGAAGGGCCATACCAGTGATGAGTAGTAAACAGTAAGACAAATTACGTCAAACGTGACCTTTTGTTAAATACATGCTCCACTGCAAATATGATACATTGTATTATTCTTAATTCTTCACTCATGTCTGTTAAGAGCCATCTTACAATCTATAAATTTGTGCTTTCAAAACTTCGTCAGACACGCTTCAAAACAAATCGTTGTTCATGAATACTATCTGATGGAAACCTGCGTAGTCATCTTTATTTACCCGCTTAAAACACATAAAAGATGAATCGATACATATCAAGGAAAAATTATAAAGCACCTCTAAATGACAGGTTAACGATCCGCAAAGTAGCTTTAAGTGTCATTTCAGTTGAACGGGAAAGTGAAAAGCGCACTAAATCCGCTTAAAGGTAAATGAAAAAGCGATCAATACAATTGCATATTTCACGTGACAATGTATACTCTTCAAATGGTAGGGAATGATGAACTATAAATGTTCATACAAAATAGTGCCAAGTGCCAGTGCCTATGCTAGAACGTTTAGTTCTGAACAACTGAACACCACAATTGACATGCTGTGGACTGCAAGTGTTGCCGAGTGAGTGAGTTTGATTTTACGCCGCTTTTAGCAATATTCCAGCAATATCACGGCGGGGGACACCAGAAATGGGGCTTCACACATTTTACCCATGTGGGGAATCGAACCCGGGCCTTCGGCGTGACGAGCGAACGCTTTACCCACTAGGCTACCACACCGCCCCCGCACGAAGAAACGCCACTAATGTATTGTTCCTGGTTTTGAAATTGTCAAGGACGTTCGATTTTTGTCGCCCCATTATTTGTGTCAGTCTCATTGATTCTTCTCATCATACAGTCGTGATCTGCTTGATTAAAAGTTTCTGCACGAACTAACAATGCGCTGCGTTTTCTGGCTGTTTGCATCCTGAAAAGAGGACGAAGAGCCTGCGGAGGCCGATGTGTTCGATAAAGCTGACCATGGAACAAGTACCAGTAGACTCGAAATGACGACGATCGACACTGTTCGGGGCATCCAAGGTCACAGAGTACAGGAGGGACTGATCCAAAACGGAGCTTTGTTTGTTTGTTTGTTGTTTAACGCCACACACAGCAATATTCCAGCTGTGTGGCGGCTGTCGGTAAATGTCCGGACCAGACAATCCAGTGATCAACATAATGAACGGCTTAGAGCGTTTGATTCACCGCGCAATCACTACTTCCTGATTATCAAGCGTGCCAAGAGGATTAATTAGTGCATTGGATTATGGGTCCTTGATTGGACTGCTCATACCCATGCCGGTTTAGACAGTGTTAATTACAGTTAAAATCGCTTGTTGGGACCGGAAAGTCGTGCCGGAATACGGAATAGACAGGTGCCGCATTAGACAATCATGGTACACGATCATGGTTTATATTCATCATCATGTGATTTCTCAGTTTGTACTTTTTAACAAAGTATGCTGGCTTGCATTGGCATACTGTTAGTAGACTGGTGGAACAGGATACGCTGGTGAATGAGTGAGTTTGGTTTTACGCCGCACACAGCAATATTCCAGCTATATGGCGGCTGTCAGTAAATAGTCGAGTCTGGACCAGACAACCGAGTGATCAACAGCATGAACATCGATCTACGCAATTGGGATTCGATGACATGTGTCAACCAAGTCAGCGAGCCTGACCACCCGATCCCGTTAGTCGCCTCTTACGACAAGCATGGGTTGCAGAAGACCAGTTCTAAGCCGGATCTTCACAGCGGCAGGTTGCCTCAAACTTTCACCAGGCAGCAGGAATACGAGGTCCCGGTCTGACTTTTAGACATCGTCTGCATGCCGCGGATCTCAATTCTCAACGGCAACGTGTTGTTCGGATCTCACAGATCGGCATATTGCGAACAATTGCGTCGAAACTTGGGTAGTCGTCACTGGTTACGATTCATTTTGAACTTCCGTAACAGGCGTGATCGTGTCCGACGACGTCAAAATGAACGTCAAGCCAAAAGCAACCTGAGACCCCATGGTCATAAACTTGGTGGTGGGTTGGTCATGGTGTGGCCTATGGAGGCATCAATGTGACTGAGCCAAGTCTACTCCATAGTGTGCAAAGATCACCTTTCCCACGTTGAACACATCCTGATGCTTGGGAGATGTGTGCCGTCATATGCCTCCGAACACGTTGTCTGAACTCGGCAAGGCCCTACAAAAGGAGTGGGACAGACTCCTTCAAATCTTCAATTTTAGACTCATACAAAATGTGCCTCATTGAGTGAATGAGTGAGTGACTGACTGACTGACTGAGTTTGGTTTTACGCCGCTTTTAGCAATATTCCAGCATCATCACGGCGTGGGACACCAGAAATGGGCTTCACACATTGTGCCCATGTGGGGATTCGAACCCGGGTCTTCGGCGTGACGAGCCAACGCTTAAACCATTAGGCTACCCCACCGCCCCCGAGTGAATGAGTGAACCATCAAATTCACATTTTACCCATATTAGCCTTACAAATCGCTGGTAGTCATCACATCTTCCGTCATACTTTACTACAACCTGCAATGTGTTCCCGATTCGTTCATTATTATCTGACAGTAT